ATTTTGAGACCAAAAAGTAAAAAAGTAATAATTCATCACGAGTTCTGCTCAATTAGCTCTGACTAGAGGAAGAATATGTACCTATAGAATGTTTACTTTAATGTAATAATTGGTAAACTTTGAGATGAGGAAATAATTTATATACAACTATATACATATTCACATACGTATACACACACTCAAATAATATAAATATTTTGCATGATTTAAATTTTATGAACTAAGGGCTTCATTTTTAAAAACCAAAAAAATGTTTTTTTTTTTAATTTTTTCTACGTTTCAGGGATTCTACTACTGTTTTCCTACATACTCACACTGATAAGCATCAATAATGTAAACTTGTTCGAACAATCATACTTCATTTTTAAATTCCCGAGTTTTGTGCGACGATCTGCCAAGCCATTTCTTAGCAATTTGAAAAAAAGTGTTAAACTTTTCGTCCACATTTAAGCTCATCCTACCGAACCGATTTTAAAAAATCAAAGACTGTTCGAAAGATATTAGTTGGGAATGGTACTGATTAATTTTAGGTGAAAATCTATCGAGCCGTTTTCTTGTAATGAACTGTTGAAAAAAAAAATTAAGCCGATTTTCATGGAACTTTTTTGGCGATATACATCATGGTCTTATAGAACTTACTGTAATATTACGGCCTTACGACAAGTAGTTTAATGTTAAATATTCGTCAAACTTTGCTAAAATTATTATCGTTTTTTTTTAAAGTAGGATTGATGAAGTATATTATTTACACTTTTTTTTTGATTAAGTCGATTATTTACACATATTGGGAAGTTCATGTAACTTAAATACCAAACCAACTAGTTCTCCCTTTCTTTAGACCCTATCTCAAAATAATTTAGCTGTTATGACTACCGTACCCTGGCACAACCGTATCCAGTCTCTCCTATATGTTAACAATTTGCTTGCCTACATTTGCTCAGTTAAATATACCACAAATTTTTTTCTTCATTAATTTTTTTATTGAATTTAGCATCATGAAATTCAAAATTTTGTTGGGCATTTGTGGTAGTAAAAAATATGTTTAGAATGATGAAGTTATCCCGATTAATACGATGAATATAGAACAAAATTGAATCGAATCCGCAGAGCTTTACACCCAGTAATCCAATACCCATCGAATCGGGGACAAAAACGGCAATATCCGGAACACATATGTACATATCATGGTGCGGACATATAATATTGCGTCATATCCGTTATTGGCGAGTCCCTATGATTAAACATAACACCGGCATATAGGGATTATAGCACTGGAGAGCCGCGGGCTATAGCTGTTTCTCGGCGGTATCGATAAATAGGTTACGTTCGATCGTTCCAGAATAGGCTTCCGCTTCCACGCTTCCACCCCGTGCGAAATTCATGGTTTGGGTCGTGCATTAGCGCGCCAAATCCTTTGTTTATCACAGATAGTGTTTAACAGAGACGCAGAACCTTCTTGCATAGTTTAATCGGGTAATTACATCATATGTAATGGATAAGCACATTTATTAACTTCCCGAAGGAGAAGTTTATGTTTTCATCAAAAAATCCGACTGTGAATTTTATGTTTTCTCGACGTTTCAAGCCATTCTGAATCGAATGAGACCAAATTTGGAAAAAGTATGTGTGTGTGTGTGTGTGTGTGTGAACAGATTTTTTGCCGTAAATCGACGTTTTCTCAAAAACGGCTGGATCGATTTTAAAAATTTAAGCCATTCGATGTATCTCAATGAGGACTACCGTTTCTATGTTTTGTGCGACGATCGGCCGGGCCGTTTCTTTGTAAATCGCAGAAAAGTGAAAAATTTTTCGTCCACGTTTTAGCCTGCAATTCTGAATCGATTTTGAAAATTCAAAAACCGTTCGATAGATATTGATTGGGAATCATGCTGATTAGTTTTTGGTAAAGATCGGCCGGGCCGTTTTCTTGTAATAAAGTTTTTTAAAAAAAAATTCGACGATTTTTATGATTTTTTTTTTGACAGTAGATACCACAGTCTTGTAGATCATACTAAAATATTACGGCCCTACGACAAGTCGTTTAATTTTGAAAAATCGTCAAAGTTTGCAAAAATTAGTATCGTTTCTTTGACATTTGACAAAATCAAACCTTTGATCGACGTTTTCTCAAAAACGCCTGAACCGATTTCATAAATTTAAAAGCCACTTGATGTATCTCAATGAGGACTATATATATATATATATATATATATATATATATATATATATATATATATATAATTTGTCAGCTTTGTGGATGATCTGCCGAGCCGTTTCTTTGTAATTTAAAAAAAAGTGTTAAACTTTTTGTCCACATTTAAGCTCAAACTACCGAATCGATTTTAAAAAATCAAAAACTGTTCGAAAGATATTAATTGGGAATGATACTGATTAGTTTTAGGTGAAAATCTACCGAGCCGTTTTCTTGTAATTAACTGTTGAAAAAAAAATTTAAGCCGATTTTTATGGATTTTTTTTAGCGATATGTACCATGGTCTTATAGAACTTACTGAAATATTACGGCCTTACGACAAATAGTTTGATTTTAAAAATTCATCAAAGTTTGAGAAAATGAGTAGCTCTTTTGACATTTGTTAAAATTAAAATTAGACTATTTACTTGGTATAATGACAGAGTACTTGGTCTTGAACATAATAAACCATTAAAGTCCTGGAAACTGGTTCAATTATAAAAAATATTGATTTTTGAAAATTTGCTTTTAGAAAATACTCCGAGTCAAAGTGTTCGTTCGTTTTTAATTATGTGTAATAAATCCACTCGGAATACTTATATTCACTCATAAATTAATTTATTTCTCATTGATTAAGTCGATTATTTACATATATCGGGAAGTTCATGTAACTTGCCTCAAGGCTAAATACCAAACCAACTAGTTTAAAATAGTTTTTCAGTTACGTAAAACAATTTTTTACATATTTAAAGGCACGTAGAAGTGGTTTGGATTTGGTAGAAAAGATACATTCACGAGAATTAAGTAATTAAACCGGTTAAAAATATCGCCGTGATAGATATGCAATTTTCATAGCAATATACGTGTCCAAAAAATAAACATTAATTTTGGTGTTTATTAAATTATTTTTCATAGCTTAGAAAAAATTTCAACGGAATCCACTTAAATATATATTCAACTTTATTTATCAATATAAAAAAGATTTCGGTCTATCTATGTTGATCGCGCTATGACAAGGTGCACACTCCCGGACGCGATCCCACTACTGCTCGCCACGGGGACTCTTGGCTGCTGAGTGTCCTCTCTGGCCCGGTACGTCCCTCCTTAGACAACCTGAACACCCCGAGCTCCCCCAGGGTGCCCATGTCGATGGCGAGCATAGTGCGGACGTCCAGTCAACATGCACAACCAGGCCACAGTTGTTCCCAACCTCAAGACATCCTCGAAATCTGACTTCCGAGTAGCCGGATTAGAGGAGACGCCACGCTCCCAGTCGGGAGGAACTGTTCTCGTTGTGAATTTGACGTGAAAATGTATTTGAATGATCGAGTAGATTATTTAACATTTACAGAAAAGAAAGTATTGTAGAAGTGGAACCAATGATATTAGTTCATTAGTTAAATAATATCTTGAATAATTATTTTACTAAATCAGGTTTATACTTCATAATTCTCATACTCTTGCCAAATTGATAAAAAAACTAGTGGGGTGGGTGGCATCGTGCCTTAAGGCAAATTACTGGAACCGTAAAACCCGTACCGTAACGAAATGTTCGAGGATTACTGAATGTTTTCAAATAGATTATTATAAATATTGTAACATTGTCTAATATTTATAAGAATTATATAAACTGAATTGCAAAGTTGAAATTATTTGTTTAAAGTATATTAGAACTGCAGTCAGAATTAAAAATAAAATTTGAATTATTTTCGATATACAAAAAATTAAAAAAAAAAAAAAATTGAAACAAATTTTTTTTTTCCAAAATCAATTATTTTGTTAAGACAAGCAGAAAGTTCTTTGAATCATTCAAATCGGACGCTTAGTTTTTTCAAAAACTGCCATTTTTCACATATTTAGCTCCGTATCTTCGAAATGGCTGGTCCTGCCTTTGCCAAAAACTAATAAACACTTCTCCCAATCATTACTAATTGAATGTTTTTTTGATCATTCAAATCGATTACTCCGTTCTCTCAAAAAGTCGATTTCTATTTTCTGCACTCTTTGCTGCGTATCCTCGAAACGGCTGGACCTGCCTTTGCCAAAAACTAATCAGCTCTTTTCCCTATCAACAGAAATCGAATGTTTTTTGAACCATTCAAATCGGTTGATCCGTGCGCCCGAAAACGTGACTGGAAATTTGTATTCATACATACATACATACACACATACACATCCATTTTTTTCTTAGGTATGCCAAAATGTTCAGAAACCTTCAAAACGTCGAGAAATGTAAAAATTTTCAATTTCGATTTTCGGCCCATTACAATAACTTACCCTACGGGAAGTTAAAAATACTAGCTCTTAGATTGAAGAATGAAGAAAATACTATAAGCAAAAGCCAAAAATAATTTAATCTCCTATTATTTTAAAGGAAAGTTTATTTTATTATTAGACAATTCATTGAAGACATAATCAAACACTCTTCAGACCCAGGCAAAATATAATTAAAGCTTACATTTCTATTTTTAGTCTTTGCTTTGTTTTCAATATTGATATTCTCTATCCGAATGTCAATTGTATCAAATACATAATGTTATTTCGCATTCAGTATATTTTCGATCACATTTAACCGTTTTAAATGTTCGTGACAGACTCGTATCTATTTGTTTTGTTATTGTAAATTTTGCGTGGCTAAATGGGTCAGATATTCATTTTCATATTTATAATAGCAGATCTTTATATAGCATGAATATGTTGTTATTTACCTTCACGTAAATACAAACATTATGTTTTAAATTTGTCATATAGAAAAACAATGTGAAACTACATTTGAAGTATTTTATTCTTAATATTTTTTATTTTACAGGAATATATTCTCCGTACATGGGGCATGGCGAAAGTGTGCGAGTTTTAGACCCTGATCTGGGTACATTGGAGTTAGGTGAGGAAAGGGAAGCCAAACGCCACAGAGAATACAGGTCGTCGACAGGTAAAACGCGGAGGGAAAGCTCTCGGCACCCCGAAGATGATCCATTAGTAGTCAGGACTAACAAAGGGATCGTCAGAGGTAACTTGATAAGAAAAAATTTACTCGTATCTTCAGTTTTTTTTGGTATGTGTGATAATATGCATTTGTTTAGATACAAAATTTTTCTGTATTCTCAAAGACAGATGCATCATTATGTATCTATATTATATGATATACTATTATATTTATATATGCTTAGCAACATTATGCAGTTTTAACTAAATAGACATGAATTTTGAGTCACTACAAATAAGGACCCGATAGAGTAGTGGTTTATTCATATCATTTGTCCATTAAATTTCCACCATTTTCATTTGAATGTACATCCACAATTAACCGATTTAAATTTATTATCCAGGTACCACGTTGACGTCATCGACGGGCAAACACGTCGATGCGTGGCTTGGCATACCATACGGCCGAAATCCTTCTGGGGCGCTACGCTTCCGACACCCTCGGCCGGCTGATCCTTGGCAGGGCGTCCTAAATGCCACATCGCCGCCGAACACGTGCGTTCAGATAGTTGACACGCTGTTTGGAGACTTTCCTGGTAAATACATAAGATTCTCAAATGCTTAATAATTGGCAATGACAGTATAGTAGTAGAAATCTTCGCTTTTTAAAAATCATCTTTTAAATGAGCCCAGAGGTGGCAAAATCGGTTCAAACGTAAGCTAGCGCCAACTAGTCTCCGGTTTGCTGGTTTGATTCTCGCCAGGGCCAAAGTCCGACATCAAGCAGATTTGATGTTAAATTTCCACTTGAGGTTATATATCTCAATATAATTTCAAGTGAAAATTGCCTCACGTGGTCATACCTGCAACATCCAATCATGTGATAACTGTTGGACATAAGAGCTAATATACGCCACTTATAGAATAATGGTAAACCGATGGGTTGCCTTTCATAAAACATTTGGTCAAGTCTTCAACAAACAGCTTATAAGACATGTAAGGTTAAGTAGTTCTGATTGCTGAACAACAAATAAAAGAAAATCTTTTACATAATCGGTATTTTCTAGATTTATCTGTGCCTGCAGCAGATGATTGCTTTAATTTTGTGTTAAAACTTGGTGATTCTAATGTATTTTACGCACAGACAGGATAATACCTCTCATGAAACAGTAGGATAAGTCTTCAACAAACAGCTACATGCAGGGACATGCAGGGTTAAATTATTCTGAATGTTGAACAATAAATAAAAGTAAATATTTAAATAACCAATATTTTCAAGATTTATCTGCGCCTCTCATTAAACATTAGGTTAAGTCTTCAACAAACACCTTATGTAAGGTTAAGTAGTTCTGCTTGCTGAACAATAAATAAAAGAAAATATTTAAATAACCGATAGTCTCAAGATTTATCTGTGCCTGCAACAGATGATTGCTTTAATTTTGTGTTAAAATTTGTTGATTCTAATGTGTTTTCCATATTTCATCTTAGATTTAAAATGCAACTAGCGAGACGTACGATTGGGACATGTAAGGTTAAATAGTACTGATTGCTGAACAATAAATAAAAGGAAATATTTAAATAATCGACATTCTCAAAATTTATCTGTGTCTGCAGCAGGTGACTGCTTTAATTTTTTGTTAAAATTTGATGATTCTATAGTATTTTTCATATTTCATTATATTATTAGAAAGTCAAAGAGCCTAATTGATTGAAACTATGATGTATTGACATTCTATCTAATTTACATTATGCAAAGTTATACAAGTTGTCATAAAATGTCTTTTGTGAAATAATAAGCTTACAATGAGAAATTGCCATTACTCTATGATAAAATAAAAAATTACTAACGGTATGTATCATTGGGCCAAAATATGCAACATGAGATTTTTTTCTTTTTTTTAATTACAATATTTATTACAACTGTTAAATAGTTAACATCTAGCAATATTGATAAATAATAACATAAATTTGAATAAAATAAGAGTGCAAAGGATAGAATTTACATGAAAATAATATCTGTAATATAATGATTTAATATAAAATAAAAGCAAATAATAATAATAATAAAATTAATAAATAATATAAATAAAATTTCTGAATAATAAAATAATACAACATGATAAATATCCATAAAAATGTTACATATCGATTAGTTTGAAAAAAATCAAACATATTAATCCAAAATAGATAAAAAATGTTATCATTTTTATTCATAAACAGAATTTTAAATAGACTGACTTACTAAAATAATATAAAGTCCATTATCAATTTAAATGTTTCATTTGCTCTTCTCTCCGATTGATTGTATGTATAATCTGAATTAGGTGCAACGATGTGGAACCCAAATACTCCGATATCAGAAGATTGCCTCTACGTGAATGTTGTGGCTCCCAAACCTAGGCCTACAAATGGACCTGTAATGTTGTGGATATTTGGAGGAGGTTTCTATAGTGGTTCTTCAACTCTGGACGTATATGATCCAAAAACGTTAGCAGCAGAAGAAGGAGTTCTGGTAAATAAAATGCATTCAATTATTAAAAACTTCATTCTAGCCTTTAATCAGCTTAGCTTATTATACAGACGATCTTTCATAATAAGAAATTAATTAAATTAACTTGGATTTAGTACACGACATTTTTTTATAAATAAATATTTATTTATATAATAAGTAATTTCATAATACATAAACTTTCACTATATTTAATTTTTGTAGTTTTTTTTTATCTTTTTTTTATTTAAAGAATTCCAAATTAATACAATATTTTAAATATTATTTTGTATAATATAAAGATATTTTAAATATAATAGATATTATATTAATGAAATAGTCAAATGAAATGCATATATAAAATATGAAAACTGTTTTTCATAATCTCTCATACCAGACACCTCTGTCTGACTGAGATATGTTAGTGTTTTAAAAACTTTCAAAAATATATTTTTAAATAAATACATTTAATGTAGCTGTGTCCCTTACCCAGGTGGTTTCAATGCAGTACCGAGTGGCCTCCCTCGGTTTCTTATTCCTAGGCACTCCTGATGCACCAGGCAATGCAGGCCTCTTCGACCAGCTGCTAGCCCTGCGTTGGGTGCGTGACAACGTCCGAGCATTTGGCGGTGATCCTGATCGAGTCACACTATTTGGTGAAAGTGCTGGTGCCGTTTCAGTGTCTATGCATTTACTATCACCGCTTTCTAAAGATTTGTTTGCTCGTGCCATATTGGAGAGTGGATCTCCTACTGCTCCATGGGCTCTCAGAAGCAGGCAAGAGGCGTTAAATAGGTCGCTTTTGCTTGCTAAGACTGTGGGTTGCCCACATTCGCCAGATGATCTTGCGGCTACAGCGGAATGCTTAAGACGTAAGTTGGATAATTATAATACTATTGTCACTTTTACTTACTTTACTTTAAATGATCGTATTTTTCAAATGTTATGCGTGAGGATTGTAGTTTCCTAAAATCTAGTGTAAGAATCAAATATTTGTATACAAATATTTATTAACACATTATTAAGCACACGAACAATTCTAAGTTATTTTTTTTTGAAAAAAAAATTAACTATGTTAAAAACATCCCTTGTGGGGATCGAACCCACGACCTTTGGATTAGAAGTCCAACGCGCTATCCGCTGCGCCAAAGGGACATGCTGTGCCTAGTGTGTTTCTCGGAAGTTCTCTTTTTTCATTTTACTTATATTAACTTATTTTATTCAAGATAAAATACTTAACAATTCAGGTGATAAGCATTATGTAATATTAAAACATATTATTTTATTTCCTTATTAACTTCCCGTAGGGCAAGTTATAGTAATCGCAAAAAAATCGAAAATGAAAATTTTTATATATTTTCACGTTTCAAACCTTCTGAACATTTTGGCATACCTTAAAAAAAATGGATGTATGTGTGTGTGTGTATGTGTGTGTGCGTGTATGTGTGTGTGTGCGTGTATGTGTGTGTGTTCGGATACGATTTCGGGAACACGAATGAAGCGATTTGAATAATTTAAAAAACATTCGATTTGTATTGATAAGGAGACGTGCTGATTAGTTTTGGCAAAGGCAAGTCTAGCCGTTGCGAAGATACGGGGCAAAAAGTGCCAAAATGGTAACTCAGTTTTTAAGAGAACGAAGCGTCCGATTTTAATAATTCAAAAAACATTTACTGGCATTGACAAGATGAAGAATTGATCAAATTTTCATGAAGGCAGGTTTAGCGGATTTGGAGATCCAATAAAAAAAGTGAAAAAAATGCATTTTGCAGTCAAAAATGATCATTAGACATATGCACATCAAATTATCAGATATTTATAGAGATTTTAACAATAAGTATAAATTTTGTTTACTGTCCTATGGGTTCCCTACCAATGTTTATTCGTTAGACGGCGACGCGGCGCTTACGCGCTTTGACATTTCATCTCTATGCAGTTAAAGCAGTACGATTGCTTTGAATAAAATTTCAGAATTTTCAAAATATGGCAAAATTAAGAAAATTTTTTTTTTCAAAAAAAAGTAATTTTTTGTCAAATTTATAGTTTCTCAAAAATCTAATTTTTTCGAAATAATTTTTTTCCGAAAATGTTAATCGTTTTTAAAAAAAATAATAATTTTCGGTACGGGAAGTTCCAGCAATTTGCCTTAAGGCACGATGTCATGCGCTCCACTAGTTATTCTTATGGTTTCAAAATAGAAATAACAACAAAATAATGAAAATAAGAGAAAAATAATCACATTTTGATCAACGCTCTAGACTGTACTAAAAGCTCATAATTTTCAAACTACACTTTAATCATTTGTTCTCTAATTTTTTGTTATCACCTCGTTTCGTTTGGCATTGAGTTCTGTATACTATATCGTAATTTCAGGTGATAAACAAAATGTGATATATATTTTTATAAATTGAGAAAATAATAATAAATTGTGATAACAATTCTATAAGCTTTTTATCTACGCAAAATATGATTTATGCGCTTTAACAAATTTATGCACATTTTAATCAAATATTAAAAAAACGTACAAACATTTTGTTTGCGAAGTTATACGAATTTAAAGTTTGACGATTTTGATCGTCATGATTTTATTCCGAAAGTTAAAAATCGTTAAATGCAGTTATGTAGAAAATTTTATAAGCTTTTCATCTATGTAAAATAAAATTTATGTGCTTAAATAAATTTTTCCACAATTAAAATAAATGTCGAAAAATGTGCTCGCAAAACAATTCTTTTCGATTATTTACCCCTTTCATGCAAATTGCCTTAAAGCAAAGTGCCACTTACATCTAATTAATTTCATATTTAACATTATATATGTTTAAATACTGATCAAGTATCTCTTTGGCCACTTTTCGATTTATTTTTTTCATTATAAATCAAGGTTTTTTGAATTTTAATACTAATACTATTTGTACTATTCCTTGAGAAACTCGGGCTTCTTTGATAAACTTCTTTCGTTTATTTTATCCTTGTTACTGAAGAAATAAATTTTATATATTAATTGAAGTATATTAACAAATTTTTAGAATGTTGTTCTGCGACCAATCACAATACTCGAAAATGACGTGTGTTTTTAGCGCTAATTGTGATTGGCCAATTAATGTTGTTCGTTTTTTTTCGTTTTTCTTCGGCCCTTTTGCATAGTCTATAAATAGGGGGTGCGCGAAGGAATTCTTGGCAGTCGCCGGCCGAGCCGGCGCCGGTGTCACCTCGGGTGGCACTGAAAGCCCCCGGGGCACCAGACCGGTCGCTCCCTTTGGGGCTGGACTGGACAGGAGCTCCGGGGCCTCCGCCGGAGACTCCCGGCTGCGGAGACTCCGGGCCACGGAGACTCCCGGCTGCGGAGACTCCGGGCCACGGAGACTCCCGGCTGCGGAGACTCCTGGTCAGGGAGACTCCGGGCCACGGAGACTCCCGGCTGCGGAGACTCCGAGCCACGGAGACTCCCGGCTGCGGAGACACCGGGCCACGGAGACTCCGGGCCACGGAGACTCCCGGCTGCGGAGACTCCGGGCCACGGAGACTCCCGGCTGCGGAGACTACCGGCCAGGGAGATTTCGGGCCACGCAAAGAATCCTTGCCACGGAGACTCTGGGGTCGGAAAAATCCAATTAAATATCGTAAGAATACAATTTGAACGTGCTTTCGCAGCCGGGAGTCTCCTTGGCCCGGAGTCTCCGCAGCCGGGAGTCTCCGTGGCCCGGAGTCTCCGTGGCCCGGAGTCTCCGTGGCCCGGTGTCTCCGCAGCCGGGAGTCTCCGCAGCCGGGAGTCTCCGTGGCTCGGAGTCTCCGCAGCCGGGAGTCTCCGTGGCCCGGAGTCTCCCTGACCAGGAGTCTCCGCAGCCGGGAGTCTCCGTGGCCCGGAGTCTCCCTGACCAGGAGTCTCCGCAGCCGGGAGTCTCCGTGGCCCGGAGTCTCCGCAGCCGGGAGTCTCCCTGGCTAGGAGTCTCCGCAGCCGGGAGTCTCCGGCGGAGGCCCCGGAGCTCCTGTCCAGTCCAGCTCCAAAGGGAGCGACCGGTCTGGTGCCCCGGGGGCTTTCAGTGCCACCCGAGGTGACACCGGCGCCGGCCACGGCCGGCGACTGCCAAGAATTCCTTCGCGCACCCCCTATTTATAGACTATGCAAAAAAGCCGAAGAAAAACGAAAAAAAACGAACAACATTAATTAGCCAATCACAATTAGCGCTAAAAACACACGTCATTTTCGAGTATTGTGATTGGTCGCAGAACAACATTCATCTAAAATTATTTATTTAATTGTAAAAAAACATCTCGTTGCTCATCTCAAGTATAATGGATAAATAAACTTTTGATGGTATTATTTTTTATAAGGAGTTTTTAAAGTATATAAAGTTGCTATAGTTCGTTATAGCGTGTTAATAAATATTGTAGATCGTTTAATTGTAAACACATTTTCCGAAATAAACATTCGTTTACATTAAATGGTCTAAAAGGTAATAAAGATGTAAAACAAATTAGAAATCAATATGTTGCCTAAAGAAAAATGCGTAGAAACAATAACGATAATTTTTAAAAACAAAATATGAATGTATTTTATTAAGTAAGGTATACATTAATGTATACCATCACAAAGAAAATTTTATAGGCTGTACAAAACCCTAATTTAATTATTAACAATTTATACAAAAATATTGTGTAAAAAATATTTTTTCAAAAAAGTGCACTTCTTTTACAACGTTAATAAATAGCTACTTGTGTTAAACAGAAACAAATATATTTATACATATATAAAATTCTTATGTTCATTACTTACATTGATATTTTTCAATTAAATTTCAACTTTTTGTGCAATTTTTATATTTTCAGAAACTTTAAACAGTTCATTTTTGGAAATATTAAAAACTGTCAAATTATTCCTTTGTTCCTAATTGTTTATAAAATCCTGCAAAAACACTATTAACCAATTAAGCACACATAACTATATATAATATATATATATATATATATATATAATATATATATATATATTATATATTATATATATATAATATATATATATATATATATATTATATATATTATATATATATATATATATATATATTCGATATACAAAAAAAAGTTCTTGAAAAAAAGATATATATATATATATATATATATATATCTTTTTTTTTCAAGAACTTTTTCTTTGTATATCGAAATAAAAAAATTTCAGATTTATTTTAATTCTGACTAAAATTCTAATATACTTTAAACAAATATTTCAACTTTGCAATTCAGTTTATATAATTCTTATAAATATTAGACAATGTTACAATATTTATAAAAATCTATATGAAAACGTTTAATATTCCTCGATCATTTAATTACGGTACGGGAAGTTCTAGCAATTTGCCTTAAGGCACGATGTCATACACCACTAGTTTTTTTACATAGCCCACAGGGTAGCTCTAGGGGGACATAAAAATACATTTGTAATAATATTTAATATAATAATACAATTATATTATTTTATAACATAACAATGCATAAAATAATATTATAAAATCATCAAGAAATTTATAAGATAATGTTATATGATGAGTTAAAAAACCTTACTATTTAGTTTACAGACAATATCAAGTTTCAAAAAAATATATTATATATTTTAGAAAAAGATAGCCGGGACTTGGTAAATAACGAATGGAATGACCTAGGCATTTGTGAATTTCCGTTTGTGCCGGTAGTGGACGGCGCTTTTCTTGATGAAAGTCCACAAAGAGCACTCAAGCGTGGAAATTTTAAGAAAACCGATATACTCACAGGAAGCAATACGGAAGAAGGGTAAATATTTTGCTCGAAAACCAACAAAAACATGTTTTTATCCAAACACCTAAAATTTATTATGGAATCAATAGGAACATATCAATTTTTAAATGCATTATTGGCTGAATCGATCACAATTAATAGATAATTACTTTAATTTCAATGTAGCAGCATATCAATTATATATTCCGTACTACTATCCTAACTAATACTTAATGACTTTATAATTAAATCGTATAATTTTTATAGTTTGGCATGGGAGTTGCATAATTTAATCGAACCACTTAGCGATCTAATTTGGATTTGTTTTTGAAAATAAGGTTTAATATTTCTTTTACTAGGTATTATTTCATCATCTACTATTTAACCGAGTTGTTCAAAAAAGAAGAAGGCATCAACGTCACACGTGAGCAATTTTTGCAGGCTGTGAAAGATTTGAATCCACGTGTAGGACCAATAGGCACCCAAGCTATAGTATTTGAATATACTGACTGGTTAGATCCAGAAGATCCACTAGGAAATAGAGATGCTTTGGATAAAATTGTCGGAGATTATCAGTTCACTTGCAATGTAAACGAATTTGCGCACAGGTAAAAAAATCTGTATATTTCTTCTTATTTTTAGTAAAATCCTTGTTCTTGATTTTTTCGTTTGTGATGAAGTTAAAATTATTTTTTGTTTCCAGGTATGCATCTGAAGGTTTGAACGTGTATATGTATTTATTCTCTCATCGTTCCCGAATTAACCCTTGGCCACGTTGGACGGGAGTTATGCATGGGGATGAAATTAGCTATGTGTTCGGAGAGCCCCAAGACTCCAGTCGCGGTTATACCCATGCTGAAGCTGCTCTCAGCAAGCGCATGATGCGCTATTGGGCAAACTTTGCCAAAACGGGGTAAGTGTAAATTGATAAATATTGTAAGTAATATAGTGATAAACACAAATTCATCAAATCTGCTATCGGAAAATTTTATTGTTATATTGATCATAGTTAATATATGGCTTTTACCATGTCTTAATATAATGAATAGAATTTCTTTAATCATATGTCCATTTATTTTGTATTACCTGTCTTATTTACTGTAGGGATCCTAATCCGGGACCAGGTAATGAACCAATACTGGCCTAAGCACACAGTCGAGCATAAGGAATACTTGACTCTAGGCGTGAACGATTCAGAATTAGGAAAAGGGCCAAGACTTAGGCAATGTGCATTTTGGAAACAGTTTCTGCCACAGCTTATCATTGCCACGAGTAAGTATATTACGAAAAAAAACTATTATTAAATATTAATAATTTAATAATAACTAGCTGGTACTGGTATTGCCTTGAGCCAAGTTACATGAACTTCCCGATATGTGTAAATAATGGACTTAATCAATGAAAAATAAATTAATTTATGAGTGATTAAAGTATTCCGAGTGAATTTATTACACATAGTTAAAAACGAACGAACACGTTGGCTCGGAGTATTTCTAAAAGCAAATTTTCAAAAATTAATAATTTTTATAACTGAACCAGTTTCCGTAGGACTTTAATGGTTTAGTATGTTCATTAAGACCAAGTACTCTATCGTTATACCAAGAAAATCATCTAATTTTAATTTTAGCAAACGTCAAAAAAAACTACTCATTTTTTCAAACTTTGATCAATTTTTAAATTAAACTACTTGTCGACCATGATATATTTCGCGGAAAAAAGTTCCATAAAAATCGGCTTAATTTTTTTTTCAACAGTTAATTACAAGAAAACGGCATGGTAGATTTTCACCTAAAACTAATCAATTTCATTCCCAACTAATATCTTTCGAACAGTTTTTGATTTTTTAAAATTGATTCGGGTAGTATGATCTTAAATGTGGACCAAAATACAAAGAAACGGCTTGGCCGATCGTCGCACAAAACTGACAAACAGTAGCTTCATCGAGATACATCGAATGGCTTTTAAATTTTTGAAATAAGTTCAGGCGTTTTTGAGAAACGTCGATTTACGACAAAAAATCTGTTCACACACACACACATACACACATATACATACTTTTTCCAATTTGGTCTCATTCGATTCAGAATGGCTTGAAACATCGAGAAAACATAAAACTAGCAAATCGGATTTTTAATGAAAACAAACTTCGGGAAGTTAATAAATAGTCAAAGGATCATGTATGGCAATTGATACTTAACTTGTGTCCTGTATTCTGTTGAATGGATCATATATTTACGTACATACTTTTGTGTTAATTTCTGTAGATCAAATTTTAAAACCATATTATAATTTACAGAGAAAATACAACTGCTTCAGTCCGAAGCGAGTGTGTGTCCGGAGTTCCTGCACCATCAGCCTGCGGAGCAGTCATCGCCCTCTTCCTGCTCCTCTGCGCTATATTGCACAGATCGCCGCTCTAAAAGATCGAACGACGACAGAATCGACAAACCATCGATTAACTAAAACAAAATGTAAAACATGTGAAATGTATTTAATACATTTCAATGCATTCATCATATATATCAGACGTGAGGCACGCGGCTTAATATAATCTATAGCGGTTAACCCTAAGAAACTAATAAAAATGAATTACTCTTGCATACTCTAGTGCTTCTGCTTGAGACTTGGATCTGGACAATACACGATTGTGCGAAATATGATCGACTTTTACAATTGTTTTTAAACGTGTTTTTATTTTCAAACGCTGGTTCTTATTATATCCGAAATATAAACTATACACTATGAGTTATTTCTAGAAAATATTATCGCATAGGGTTTCCCAAAAAGTAGAAATATTGTGTGAAACGCTGGTCTTAGCGAGTATAAAGCGAGCCGAATTCAATAAATTTGTTTGAACAAAACAAAAAACAAAGTCCTCACAGAAAAACTGTTGTGTTCTTTGTATTAATTAGAATTGTATGGAAGCGATGAAATTTTTCGAGAAATATAAAGACCTAAATTGAATTTGAGGTATATAAGTATAAGTTAGACAAAATGATACGAATTGCAATTGTGTTGGATTATAGGCGCGCCAGTAAAATAGACGTTAGCACCCCTATTTAGATAGAATGTCTCAATGTTGAACACGAATAAAAAACATATAGCACAAGTTGGCACACAAAACATTCGTACATTTATAGCATATTTATGATTATAATAAACATATAAATGGCCTATGGAGGAGTTTGCATTAATCAAAATAATTTTAATTGATAATAAAAAAATATTCACTTAAAGTCATTTTTAACGTTAATTCAACTAGTTTCAATTTGAATATGTTAAATTAAAAACTGTGTATACATGTGCACATGTGTACTTATATTAATTTGGAAATATGGACAAACAAAACTCTTTTTGCACTAATTTATTAAATAATAAGTTTCACAAACGTTTGAGACTAGGTTTGTCTCATCATCAGTGTGTTATAATTTAAAAATTTTAAAATATGGAAATAATAATTTAGCATTTTGTGTTATCCATTACAAGTCGCTCGATACATACT